GTGAGAAAGCAAGCTGCCAGGTCTGGGACTTGAACCATGGTTGGCTATGTGGGAGTGTCCAGTGCCTTAACTACCATGCCACCTGCTGGTCCCCCCCTTTTTTTTTTTGAGAATTTTGTTTAAGAAGTATTTAATTTCATTTGTTGTTATTTTTTAATTTGACCAGAGAGAAAGAAAAGGGAAAAGTGAGAACCCAAGCTACCAGGTCCAGGACTCAAATTGCAGGTGGGAGTCCAGTGCCTTAACCTCCATGCCACCTGCTGGCCCTCAACCTAAAGTGATTTTATCCAAAGTACAGATAGGTGCTAAAAATATAGGGGAAATTTGGGAAGAAAATACATAAAATTATTCTAGTTGAAAGATTTTTTTTTTTCTTGCCCACTGGGAAAATTTCTTCTTTAACCTATTAACCGAGGTACCCTGTGAAAGTCTGGGGGTTCCGTGGCAGCACAGTTTGAGAGCCACTTGAGTACGTGAGCATCACGTCTTTTCTGCTCCGGTGTTCTGTGGGTTTGGGCATCTCACCAGGCAGCCGAGGCCGAGGCCGTGGGCAGCTCGTTTGCAGATGCCATGCTTGCTCACCCGCAGCTACCGGGTGCTGCTGCCCTGACGGCTGTGACCACCTTGAACTGTGCGGTCACCAGAGGTCGTCTGTGCGACTCCTCAGTGTCTCCCTTCTGCACGGTGTTCTCGGGGCCTCGCCTGCCTGCTATGTCCCGATTTGTTTCCCTAAGGGCAGTTTCTGGCAGCAGCTGTGTTTGAGGGTGGTGGGTGAGCATTTCTGTTATAGTTTTCCTTGGCATGTTGGAAAGGTGCAAAGGCCAACGATTCATCTAAATTGTGCCCCAAGGACCAGGTGACTGTGGTCGGCAGGGTCCCCAACATAGCCTCCAAAAGGCTGGCTGTGGAGGGGGTTCAGTAAACTGGGGAGCAGGGTGCAGCAGCGAGTAGATCACTGAGCCGGATCAGCATTCCTTATGCCAACATGGGTCGCTTGCTTTTTTGCCAGGGAAACTCTATGGAGATGTAGACTACCTGGAAGAGAGACACCGCCACAGATTTGAGGTGGGATTTGCGTTTTCTCCTTTGTGTTATTCTGGAAAGCTAATCGATGAGAGGCCAGCATAATTTTCTTTCTTTCTTTTTTAGAGTAATTAATTTAAATTTATTTATTTATTTCAGTTTGACTAGAGAGGGACGGAGTGAGTGAGTGAGTGAGTGAGTGAGAGGGAAAGCGAGAAAGCAAGCTGCCAGGTCCAGGACTCAAACCACGGTCGCCATGTGGGAGTCCAGCGCCCTTAACCGCCATCCACCTGCTGGTCCCAAGGTTAGAGTGTTTCTGTGAGAATAAGGGTGCGGCTCTGAGGTTGGAAAGACGCGAAGGACCA